CCTGCGTGTTGCAGGACGAAGGTGGCAGTAGTGAGCAGCGCCATTCTGTTTCGCTTGCTGTTCCCTTTGGATTGATTAGTTTGATTGCTAGCTGTTCATACCTCGATTCATTTCTTTTGGTTATGTGAGTACATCCATGGGTCAGTATCTGAACGTAGGAATAATCTGAACGCAAAGTCCAACGCTGCTATCGTACTCTGACGACTCTGACGGTAAGCCAAAGCCCTCGACAAGTTGCAGTACTGCACACGTTGCTATTGCTATCATGATTGGTGTGACGTGTAGACTCTCTTATTCGCAATGCGCATTGCCACTTGGTAACGGCGAAAAGAGGCGCTTTCATTCACTCCGGTGTGTTCACACATGCAGTGCCTGTGTGTGTTGCACATTGCCAACATTGGGTAATGGGCGTTTGCATTGCAATACATGTAGCCCACTATGGCCGTGCAGCGCGGGCGGGAGCAGGGTGTAATAGAACATGACTGGTGTTTTAAACTCTACTTGATCAAATGTGAAGAGCAAACCAATGGGTGCGTGAGTCCGAGATCAACTACCCTCTTACAACCACGGAAACCTGGTGGAATGGATTTTGGTCGGCGGAGTTGCAGTGATAACTGTAGGTGGACTCCTTTGGCGATGCCATCCAATGTCACGGAGCCTGTTCAGAGGTGTGGGACGCTGGCAGACCCATCAGTTACAGTGCCAATCCTGCCTTGCGCGGCCACGATCAGAGTGGAAAAGGAAAGGCTCATGGGCTCAAACCCTTCTTTCCCTGCGAGCGGTGTGCACATCGGGCAACTGGAGGTAAGATACACATCTCCATGTACATGTACATGATAGTACTGCAGACTTCCATAGGAACAAAAAAACACGACGACAGCACAAGTATCGTATACGCGTAGTAGCACGACAATATTATGAAGTTAGCTCAGGAAAGACGCATCGGCTCGGGGCTACCTGCCGCTCACAGCCGTCAGGTAGAAGTTGACAACGTCAAGACTGATGCGGCATTTGTCCCATCGCAGAGGACAGGTTAGACAGGTCAGACACCCTGGGGCTGTTGTGCAGCTGGCCTAACTGTCCGCGTCAGCGACTGCAATGCTAGGCACATCAGGTACCAGGCACAAACTCTCAATAACAAATCGTACTACTCAGGGATGCTGGATCACATCGTCGCACAGGCCGTTCAGGCGCCAAACGGGCAGGAACCCAAGCAATGGAGGTTTTCTAAAAGAATGTAACAGAGGGGCAGTGAGTTGTATCGAATTATGTCGAATTGTATCGAATTGTATCGAATTATGTCGAATTGTATCGAATTGCATCGAATTTTGTCGAATGGTCATACTTCGAAGTAGTATCATTCAGATTGTCAGGGCGTGACACACATTCACATGCACATCATGTACAGTGCTGGCAACTGAAATACGACCCCTGAGCGATGGGTTCACATTCTAGCGGTCTCTGTTTCGTAGTTTTACCATCCCGTGTTGGGTCTTTGCGATGTGAGCGCACCGCTCAGGGGGTCGGATTTCAGTTACCACCACTGTACATTACGGAGGATTAGCAAGACGAAATTCGCGTTCGCGTTCGCTCTCCAAGGAAAGTCGAACTCAGTGACGGAATTCGCGTTATGAGAAGGATTAGCAAACAGAATTCGCACAAGCATGACGTTGACACGACGTACACGTACATGTACATGTACATAAGTCATTGTACATTGTGTACAGACAGTACAGCGTGGTAAATTTATGACTGCCCCTGACACGAATCCGCGATTCGTGTTCCGACTACTTTTCCGAACGAAAAATGCGAAAGTACGCAATCCAGTTCGCGAACTGAAAAATGTTTGCGAACGCGAATTTCGTCTTGCTAATCCTCCGTATTGTAAACTCTTTATCACGTGCAAGATCGCATACCCCAGCTTCTAATCAGTGTGTAAGCAAGACAACAACTGACAACAGCCGTGAGCTGACACATGCACATGCACATGCACATGACCAGTGTATGTACATGTACATGTGTATTATGTGCATGACATTGTATTTCTGCACGAGACTTGTGTCAGTCAATGGCGACGACATTAACACTTGACATGTCCCTTGACAGCCCCAAGTGCGATTTTCCGTGATAACCCGGAAGTAGCGTACATTGTCACGTGGTCTCTCCAAGACGTGCATGTAGTTATTCTTCTGGCATGTCTTCAGCTGATACAGTGCCGGCGGTAAGGGAAATCCCCTCCCCCCCCCCCCTCTCTCTCTCTCTCTCTCTCTCTCACTATCTATTCTATCTATCTATCTCGCTCTATCCATCTCTCTCTCTCTCTCTCTCTCTCTCTCTCTCTCTCTCTCTCTCTCTCTCTCTCTCTCTCTCTCTCTCTCTCTCTCTCTCTCTCTCTCTCTCTTTCTCTCTCTCTTTCTCTCTTTTCTGTCAATCTGTCTCTTTCTCGCAGGTTCTCTGTCCCACTATATACATCTCTC